TTCAGCAATTTACATTGACTAGAAATGACTTCCTCATCAATCTCTTTTAGCAAAAATTGAATTTTCCATTGTAAAAATTGCATGAAATACAGCTAGTTATCCCATCAAACCATTTGTAAGTTTCGAAACGTCAAGGCGAACAATATAAAAAGAGTGCCACAATAAAATTTGGCATCATTCAGGTAATATAGTTATGTACAAACTTTTAAACATAGTATTTTGGGCATGCCAAAAATTGATAATCCCATGACATAACGCCTGTTTTCTTGGCAAAATGTCAAGCATCAAAAGTTTAGGAATAGCCAAACTGCACCCACATTTCATGCTCAAATACAAGTTCAGACTGCATGAAATTATAAATTTTAATTAAACCCTCAGGGGATGTTGTGCTTTGCTACTTTTGTGCACACAAAAATTCTGTGCTTCAGAAACACAGCTATAGAAATGTTCTCCATGAGGTAATCCACTGTATACAGTATTTAGCATTGGAGTTTTCCATTTACTAAAGTGCAGGACATTTTTCACAGCTATTTCAGGGACATTCTGTTGATGCCATATATGGGGCATAATGGAGATTCATCTGGAGCCATTGACTTGGCAGCTTTGTGGCAGTCCAGGAAACTGACTGAAGAGGATGAAGATGAGGACAGCATGGGAGAAGAGGATGTCAGTTCTGATTTCAGTAAGTTTCTGAATCACAAAGTGAAGGGACTGCCATGATATCAAGGACAGTATTGCAAATGTTCAAATGATCAATCAATTCAAGCTTGTTCTTTGCTGTTGCTAATCTGGAAATCCTTCTCCCAAAATCCTTATCTCACTTTTGTATAAGCTTCTGGTGCAAACAGTGACTTCGAAAACCTAGTTTGTTCCTTCATCGTTGAATTTAATTCTGTAACAAATGATAATAATAATCCAGGAATAGGCCTTTTTGTTCAAGCTGTGCTCAGTAATTGTCTTGTGCTATGTTTTTTCTGGAAAAAATTGATGCCAATTTTAATGTACTGGGATTCATTTTAATTTGAATAAATTTGTGTGTGTGGTTGGGTGCTTTGGTGATGAGGGGAAATGTTCTGAACCTTGTGAATGCTGACAAGCAGTAAGTTAAGATTATTTATTAATCAATCAATGTCCTATAGCAGAAGCATTATACAGTACATTGCCCCAAAATGTCATTCGAAATGCATTGAAAACCCTGGAACTTCCACGTAACTTTGAATTTCCATATTAAAGGTGTTTTTGTTAAAATTTTCTATACGAAGTAATATTAGGTTAACACTAATATGGAACGGTTGAATTTTGAAAGATTCATTTTTTTTAAGTTTTATAAAAAAGCTAGGGTTGTGTTCAATACCTTTCAAATTTATTTTTTAATATAAACGTCATCGAATTGTGTTGTTGAAAACGAGTTCGGAAGTAATGAGTTTGAAGACCTCCCGTAAAAACAGAACATAGGAATAACCATTGGTCCTTTCTCTTCTCTTAATTTTCTTATTTAACTACGAAAAGTTTTCCAATTTAATGACTAATTGTACAAATTTACCATTTTTTCCAAGTTCAGCATCCTGCCAACTTATTTACATGAGTTGCTCAAGGACCAGAAGATCACCAATTTTTGTTTCCTTTCATTCTCTATTTCCTTTTTTGAAAAAATTCTAGTTTGCTTGAATTCAAAATCTGTATGAAAAGAGAAATTTGTTTGGTAGATCCCTCTGAATTCAGCTTGAATAAATTTGACTGGATTTTAAAATTATCAGATGGAAAAGACATGGTCTCATCACCTCTTGACAATGCTTTTTCTCAAACTCAAAAATGCCCAAATGTCCAAAATATTTTGAGATCCCTCTGAATTCAACTTCATGGATCTTGATTTTTGACTTTATTTTAAAAAAAATCTCCGATGGAAAAAACATGATCTCATCACCCCTTGACAGTGCTTTTTCTCAAACTCCAAAACCCCAAAATATTTTGAAGTCCCTCTCAATTCAACTTCATGAATTTTCACTGTATTTAAAAAACAATTTCAGGTGGCAAGGACATGGTCTCACCCCTGGACGATGATGGCGACTTCGAAATGCTTTCACCATTTGCCCAGAAACCCGTTTCTCTGGAAGATGGTCCTTACCAGCGCCTGGAAAGAATGGACGTGAAGAAACCCGGGCCAGAATTTGACCTTTCAATCCCACTGGAACCCCCGAAACACGGGAAACACCATAATCACCATCAGGTCATTCATCATCAGGTGCACGTTCATGATGACGACCACAATGACCTCCAAGTCTCACCAAGCGCAAAACACAACATGCTCTTCCAAGACATTCAAAATGATGATCATCAATTCGCACGCCCATCTGGAAAGCAGGTTAGATTCCCTATCATTGTAAATAATGTGTGGTGAGCTGTTTGAATAAATTTATTCAATAGGTTTACACAAATGAATATGTATATAAAGTACATGGCTGCTGAACAGAACAGCTTGATTAGGGCTTGATATTAACCCAAACTTCCCCATCAATTTAAAGTTTTCCACACTGGCTGTCGTATATAGAGTGTAACTTTTCGACCCCTGCACCCCATTCCAAACTTTCTAGAGAGAGAAAGCGAGACACGGAGGTTGAAATTATTCCGTCTCTATTTTTTGAATATTTTTCAGGAGATCCTCAATAAGTTGCCACCACCAGTGAAGCCCAAGAACCAACTATTTCGGAAAGATTGGGGCTTCCTCCAAATCACAAGACCGTGAGTATTTTCGATTCAGGATGCATTTTTCGAAAAATTCTGAATTAATTTGGATTTTTTTCCAGGTTTGCGGACATTTTGGAAGGAAGACGATTGGTGGCTTCTCTGGAAAGACTGCTTCGATTGGAGCCTGGGACTTTCACTGAAGCCAGGTGAATATCTGTGTCATGATGAATTTTTGCATTGGTCACAATCAAACTGTTTATGTATATATTTTGTTTTGGTTGTGCTGTATATATAGGGTTGAAAACAACCAGGTTATGTTCAAGGTGAACCCTAACCCGCAGCGGATGAATGTCACGGATATCATTATTGGAGCAGGTATGTTTTGTATTAAATATGAGTATATTATCTGTGGATTAGATCTACGCAAAAGGCAGAATTTCAAAAATGAAACACAGAATCAGCCGTGGGCGCAGCTGGGGATTTCCTTATGAAATCCCAAAAGAAAGATAAAGGTATATTTCAAATGAACCCCAAGATTGATTCACACGCTTCTTCACATAATAAAACACAATAGATAATAAAAAGATAAAAGATAACCTTCACAATCACACACATGCAGTGCAACACAAATTTTTTTTAGTCTGTTCTTCTGCACACCTGATTTGTTCAAACCCTTGAAGGGTACAGATTAAAATATCTAGTATTCAATCAATATGGCTGCCATCTAACAGCAGTTGCTGTGCATCAGGTATACAGCAGTACATTAAGGTACCAAATTATTCCGTTAGAAAATCAGTGCATTTTTCTTCAACCTCTAAATTTAATTTCATCAAGGATCTGTAATACTTCTCATATAGTGCAACATATTTGAAATCAAATCGTTCTCTTTGAAAACGCGAGCAGCTGACGAGGCTTTTTGTATTTCAGTAAAATTTTGACCTTATTGGAAAATTTGCTGTGATCTTGTTGAGATCCCATTGATCAATTCTCAGAGAATTGAAAAATGTCAAAGAAGCTTATAAAAGCATTTCAATCTCATTCCTTTCGAAGAAAAGTCATCGTTCATAACTCACCAATTCTTAAAATCCCGGATGTAATTTATAATTTGATTTTTTTTAGATCCATTAATTTATTCTCAGAGAACTGGAAAACTTCAAATGAACAGCAAGCTTTAAAGCCTTTCACTCCTTTTTTCCTTGCAAGAAAAGTCGTGATTCATGACTCACCATGTTGATCCACTTCCGTTGGGATTGTGCTATGATTTTCTCATTCACAATCCCATTGAATAATTCTCAGATTGCTGAAAAACTTCAAAGAAGCTTTCTAATGCCTCTCCTTGAAAGAAAAATAATTTTTTATGACTCACCAATCTCGTCTCCAAAATTTTCAGATAAATTCCAAGAGGCCATCAAGAATGATGTTGGAGTGGAGCTGGAATCTGGAGGAATTGGGGATGAGGTGGGAAATGTTTTTTTTTACTTTATATTTGAGAAGTTTTGAAATTATTCTTTTCAATGTGTTTGGACAGATAAAAATTACGTGGAAGGACTACTTGCCAACTGCACAAGAGAGGTTGACGTTTATGGGCCTGTGTTTGGCAGCTTCTACTGTAGCATTGATGACAACTGGGTTCATACTGTACGCGTTACGACGGCGCTGCCAGAGCAACGACAAACTTCACTTCTCCAGGAATGGTGACCATGAGGCCAGCAGGGATTATCAGGTGAAAATCCCCATGATCCATCCAGGTTGCATCAACAATAAGGCATGCCTTTGGGACACGTACATCCCAAATGTTGGGGACAAAGGGCACCACAACACAAGAAGAATAATGCTGTGGATCAAAGAATATTAGAGGAGAGAAACACAGAATGAACCTCTCAGTTAACCTCAGCCAAACACACAGCACCAATATGACAGCTAAAATTGAGCTGGTATTTATTTTGATGAGTGAAAGGGTTTTTTATTTTCTTTTCCTCAATCAAGCTTCTTGATCAAGGAAAAAAAATTTCAGAGGCCTATGATTGGCCAAGAAGAAGTTGCATCAAAGATTTCTTGGTGCCAATAAGGCACTCAAAATTTCGGGAGGGGGACAATTTTGACAGTTAACCATGGTTTTCTTCTTGGGTGGTTTTTTCCATTTCCTCTTGCTTTGGAGGTTTTCCCCTTGATTAACTGTTTTAGGTTGATAATTTTAATGGGTTGTAGTGGTGGTGAGCAGCAAGTCCCTTTCACTAAAAGAATGTGGTGCTGATGCAAAGTAGGATGCATTGCTTCCACATCATTTTCTGATCCCTGAACAATATTTTCATCCAGTTTTCCTAATGGCCTGTAGAAAAGGGTAAATTAATTTATAGATATTTCGGTCTTGTGTTTTTCTCTAGGATTTGTGCAGAGCAAGGATGGCTACAAAGGCTCAAGAGAAACCTGAGCCCTTGCATAAAATCATCACTGGCTGCATCAGGGATGATGGAACTGGTGGACAGTCTCATCAGGGTGTGACTGGATCCCCTCACTCCTCAAGATCCTCCACATCATCCTGGACTGAGGAGCCTGTTGCTTCTAATATGGACATCTCTACTGGTCACATGGTTCTGGTGAGTAATAAATTAGCATTGCCAAAAGGAAAGAAAGTTATTTTCTACAGAAATACCATTTAAAGAAAAGCCCTTATGAGAGCAACTTTTTTATTGTGTAACTCCAAATTTCATGGGAACAAATTGTGGGAAATAAAATTTGAAGAATGCTCAAAAGCTCTGACAAGATAGCAATATAAAAAATTTGATCTTTGTTTCAGGAATAATTTACTTCCCTCTATCTCTGAAGATCCTTATGGGACCAAGAGCCACCTCAGGTTCCCAAGTATATTTATCCTTGAATTTAACCTTGCCAACAGCATGTCCAAAATATTTTAGCTGACACTATCCATCAGTTATGAATTTTTTGAATCCTTATATTTGGGGAGGTTTTCATGGTCAGTCTCAGCCATAAGTTTCAAACAGTTGCTCTTGAGAATTCAATCATAACTGAATCCAAAAGGACTTGCTTTGTACTCTTCTGCTCATAGAAAACAAAAATAAAGCTGAATCATGTTGAAGTATTTTCTACATGCAGTCTCAGCCTGGCTGCTTATTGTTTTTCATCATTTTCTAAATTTAAAAAATTAAATTTAAATGAAAATTTTCATCATTTTGTGTGTGTCCTTTCTCGCAAAAACTCCTGTGAGACTTGGTTGGAGGGGCAAAATAATGATCTCAGGCAGACTTCTCTCTCTCTCTCTCTCTCTCTCTATCTCTCTCTCTCTCTCTCTCTCTCTCTCTCTCTCTCTCTGTCTCTCTCTCTGTCTCTCTCTCTGTCTCTGTCTCTCTCTCTGTCTCTGTCTCTCTCTCTCTCTCTCTCTGTCCGTCTCTCTCTCTATTTTGTTCTTCAACACAATTAAATATTGAACAAGCTGTGATTTTGCGATTTTTTCCAAATTTCCCAGTCTTACATGGAAGATCACCTGAAGAACAAAGACAAGTTGGAGCAAGAATGGCTGGCATTGTGCGCTTATGAAGCTGATCCATCCTTCACCACTGTGGCAGACAAGGTAACACTTTCCATTTCATATTCAATTTTGACTAGATGATGTTCTATAGCACTGATTTTTCTTCCAGACTGAGAACAAGAAGAAAAACAGGGACAAGGTAGCTGTTCCATACGACCATGCCAGAGTAATCTTGAATGACCTCTCCAACATTTCGGGCTCGGATTACATCAATGCTTCCACCATTGTAGGTTTTAAGTTGCAAATATTGTACAAGGGTTGTCCCACCAGTTGGACGTGCCCTCTGATATTTTTAGAGTAGATGTGAGTGTAAAAAACAGAAAAAAAATCATGACATAATACCTTATGATGTTCTGATGTTTTGGGATTTTTTCTGAATAAATTTTTTTTAATCTACTGCATGATGATAAGTGGAAAATTTCCAGTTACAGCTAAATTTCTCCAATCATGTCTAAGGGTGGTTGATCCATATTTGTCAGGCTAGCTGAAAAATTGAAATTTGTTCTTGTTGTACCCATTATATTTATTATAATGTTTAGGTAATGGGTGAAAAGAAAGGAATTCAATTTTTTATACAGCAGCATGACGAATTTTGTAGCACCCTGTGACATGGGGAGAAAACTCTGGCTGTACCTGTAAAGCTTTCATTCAACATCATGCAGCAAAGTGAAGAACCCTCTTCTAAAATCCGCAAAAAATCCCACAACCTTATAGAACACCATGGGTTATGTTTTTCTTTCTTTACAATCACGCCTACTTTGAAAAATGTCAGATGGTCGCGTTCAGCATGGACCACCTCGTATTTTGTTGTTGAGTAATTTGACATGGCCTGGGGGTTTCAGACGGATCATGACCCGAGGAACCCAGCTTATATCGCGTGTCAGGGCCCGATGGCAGGAACAGCAGCTGACTTTTGGCAAATGGTCTGGGAACAAGGCAGTGTGGTCATTGTCATGCTGACCAAGCTCGCAGAAAACGGACATTCCATGTGTCATCGTTATTGGCCGGAAGAAGGATCTGAGGTCTACCACATCTACGAAGTAGGTTTAAATTTTTTTTTCAGCTGCCAAATTTCACAAAAACCCTTTTTTCTTTATTTCACTTCAATAATAGATAAGTTGAAGCAACTATCAAGTCAACAATTTGGCAAATATTTGAAATGTCAACTATAGATCTCCTGAAAAGGCAAAATGTTTGCATCTGTTTTGATCAAACAACCAGCAAAAAATAAAAATAAATGTGCCAATATCTATTCATATCTAGCCAGACTTCAATGAAGGACTGAAGTTTTGAATATAGCTGAAGTAGAGAGTACTTTTTTTGCAGTCCAAAAATAATGTTTCAATTTTCTATCAGAATTGGTGAGATATAGAGTTTAGAAAACATGTTCCTATATGTAGAATGAGAGATGGAAGTTTATTGTCAAATGAGCTGTCTTCTTGTAAATAACTTCTTCCCAGAGTATATATAGGCATTTTAAACTATTTTTGTATAGTTTTTTTTTGGGTGGGAGGTGAAAAGCACCTGAGTCCAAACTGGGACCCAAGGCAGGGAATGAGTTAATGATGTATTCCACTGTATGATTAATTATTATTTTTTAATAATTTGCGATTTTTTTTGTCAAGGTTCACTTGGTTTCTGAACACATCTGGTGTGAAGATTACCTTGTGAGGAGCTTCTATTTGAAGAACTTGAAGACAGGAGAGACCAGAACTGTCACTCAGTTTCACTTCTTGAGCTGGCCCTTGGATGGTGTGCCCGGTTCCACCAGGGCCCTGCTGGAATTCCGCAGGTAGAACCCATCAATACACACAATCCTGCATAAGGATTTAATTCTTTCGAAAAAATCGAAAATATTCCTGTATGTGATTTCAATTTTTTCAGGAAAGTCAACAAGTCATACAGAGGAAGATCTTGTCCCATCATTGTCCACTGCAAGTGAGTGACATCTTGTGGGGGCTTTTTTGTGGTTGTTGATGTTCTTGAATATATATGGGTATGTGGTACCGTAAACTGGAAAGGAATTGTATTTCTGGTCCCAAAAAAATGAAAAGAAGTCAGAAATGTCATCATGAGAATTGATATATGGACCTGAAATCTCAAACCTATATCTAGAAAATTTGAATTCCCTTAGATTTCAATGTATTGTATATATGAAGACCTTAATGCAAATATTTCCCCTTCATGCATCTGTAACTTGTATTTTCAAAGGCTTCATGCTATTTAATCCTTGACAAAGGATCTCATGCAAAAAAGGAACTGATGTTTGCATTATCAAAATTTTCAAGTCTTGCAGGACTCAAATTTGTTCAAAAGTGTACCTTCTCATTGATTTTCATTATGATGTGGTTGCTGAAGAGAATGTTTGAATGGTTGCTGCATTGGTTGATTAGTTCAGATGTTTGTGAATACAGTAGTTGATATCAAAGTTACAGGCCTTTTAACACTTGCTTCCTTCCACTTAATATTCTCTCAAGAAGAAATGAAGGTTTTTATAGTTGGGTGCTTGATATGGGTCAGGACGGATCAGGATTGGTAAATTGCAGTGCAATGGTAGGAGTACAATGACTGCTTTTGTGTCCTTGGATGAGGCTCAGTGAGTCTTGCCAAACCAGATTTTGGCAATGGGCCTAAAAATAGAACAAAATTTGCAGCTGGTTTTAGCCAGACAATGCTGCAGCTCTGCCATGTTTGGTGCATGGGAAATGGAATAATGATTACAAAAAAAAATTATAGACATTTTGAACTCAGATATTTTATTTTTTCCTTCCAGTGCATTTTCAAAGTGTGTATATAGCGAATGCCTTCTTTTCAATAGAAAAGTCAAGCTTTTTAAACGCGCGCACCTATGAATAAGGTGCGCGTTCAAAAAAGAAAGTTGAGCGGCGAGTCATATAGATGTCGCTAGTCGACAATATATGTATATATTGCGTAATCCTCCGGTCTTGATCTGAATTTTTTTTCATTTCTATTTTTCATCATTCCCCATCAGTGATGGTTCCGGCAGAACTGGGACCTACTGCCTGATCGACATGGTACTCAATCGCATGGGCAAGGGCGCCAAAGAAATCGACATCGCCGCCACGTTGGAGCACATCCGTGACCAGCGCCCTGGCACGGTCAAGACCCGAGGCCAGTTTGAGTTCGTCCTCATGGCCGTCGCCGAGGAAGTCCACGCCATCCTCAAAGCCATGCCGCAATGAGAGAGACAAGTGCAGCCAACCTATCAACCAGCACTGGCAAAGTATAAATACTGTAAATACAATTTTGCACTTTACATTTTTAACCAATAAATGCATATACTGTACAGATAATGAGCCGCTGTGAAAGCTTCAAAAACCGCATTATTCGCCGAGTGGCTTTATTCGTTGCAAAGATATTTTACTGTATTTTGAAAATAAAATAAAAAATCAGAATCTTAATTTTAACTTCAATTATAGTCGAATTGAGAGTTCATATATTTTCATCATTTCCATTTTCAAATTTTCGATTGAAATTTGCGACAGTTGATACTTACTCGAGAACCTGCATATGATGCCCTTTATTTATTGCGATTAAAACGAGCACTCCCATTTTGAAGATTGGAAATTGAAACACTGCGTAATCTCATATATTCTACAACTAACCTCGTTTCAACGAATAATCGCTTACAACGATATCCTTTTTTAGGTCCCTTATTCTGCCCAATAGCCAACAATGGTGAAAGAATTGCTATGTTTTTTGTGCAACGAAGCTATTTTTTCTGGTCCCAATTAATGGCTTCGTTGTAAAGATATTTTGCTGTATTTTGAAAATAAAATAAATCAGAATCTAAATTTTGACTTCAATTATAGCCGAATTGAGATTTTATACATTTCCATCAATTCCATTTTTAAATTTTCTCGCTGAAATTCCCGTTTTGGAATCAAGTACAAAGTGCATCAATAAAGCTTTGAAAAGTGATGGAAATGTTATCCGCACATATGTGACATATATTCAACCTCTTTTTCCCCGTCACTTTTGGAAAATGAAGGTGTTTGAAAACAAATTGATTTTTTTTCCCTGAGATTTTGTGATTGACCTTTTGAAAATAAATTGATTTAAAATGTATTCCAACATTTGGTTCTGCAAGAGTATGAAAATGAATAGTGTAACTTCAAAGTGCTGGGAGTTGGAAACCAACTGAAACCTTCATTCCTTCCTATTCCAACAGATGTCGCCCTCCTCCTTCGAGCGTCGCAACGGAGAAAAAACTGCAAAATAAGGACTCGGAACGCCTCCACCAAAAAAAAAAAAAGCCCCCACAACCAAAAGAACTCCTTTGAGCTTCCGTCAGTGAACTAAACACCGCACCGAAGAAAGGAAGAAAGAAAAGCGTATTGCCATCCTGAGTTTTTCCCTGCGAATTTATTTTCCTGCTTCACTCATCAGCATCGCGGCTCTTTTATTTTCGAGAGGATCGGAATAAGTCCGGAAAGAAAATGCAGAGAAAAAATTTTGTTTGGCGTCAGAAAAAAAAAAACAGAGAGAGAAAACAAATCTATGTGTGCGTGTATATATATATATGTATATATGTGGCGAAAAGAGAAAACGGTGTGAGTTACCGGAAGAAGGCGTTTTATCCGTTGGATGTCGCTGCTTTCAAAAAAAGGAAAACTAAGGTGTTTCTCGCGGACAAGTTTTAGCGCATTTTAAAAAAGAATGGGGAAGAATTGTGTCTGTTATTAGGAGATCGTTGTGGCTTTTTCCTGGCTGTTCTTTCTCTCTGTTTTTCCCCATACTGGACACATTCCCACGACCGAAGCGAAGAGAAACCGAGAGAAGAAGAAGAAGAAGAAATTGTATTATTGCAAGAAAAAAAACCAAAGGGAAAAAAATGTAGTCGCTTATTTGTCGCGGACTCGCAGAAACAATACGGCGGAATGAAAAGTCTGTAATTTGAGATTTGAGCTGAATAAAGTACGAAAAAACTGAAATCAACTGCGAACCGGTCCTCAAAAAAAAAAAAAAAAACTTTGTCGAATCCTTTCATTCCTTCATTACATTTCTTATTACGAATTTCTAGAGGTAATTACGTCTTAACCTCGACGATGATTTATGAATTGCTCGAGGAATACATGGTATAAAACGGTTTTGTATCGATCCACGATACTACATTTCGTTTCTTTCTTTGAAAATGGTTAGTGTTTCTCCCCTGTTTTCCTCACCGCGTTTCATTGATTTTCTGGAAGGAAAATCCCGACATGGTTAAAAGAAACTAATGCATGAAAAAAAAGCTTGTTGGAAAAGATTTCTTGTCTATTCAGGTCCGGTGCGTTTTGCTTCCATAGCGATGGCATCGATTTGTAGCGACCTTTCCCCATGTGGTATATTTTGAATTTGACCGTGAGTTACACGGTAGTGCCCAAAAATTCGAATATGCATCTTCATTATGTGAGAGTCAATTTGATTCTGTAATTTCACGAAGTTGGTTTGGATCCTGGCCAAATTTCATGCATTTTTGATAGCTAAAATTTTTTTTCATAACAAAAAAGGGAATTTAAAAAGTTTTTGATGTCATTTTCTTCAATCATAGTTCGAATTTAATAACACTGAAATATCTCCATTGTGATAATTTTATAAACACTGTACATTATTTGAGAATTGTTAAAATTCCTATATACAGAAAGGTTGGCTAAGTTTAGCACATCAATGCAATTTTACCTGCTGGTTCAAGTTTTTATTTTACTTTACATTAAGTGACATTTATGGGTTATCCGAATTTATTTTAGAAATTTGCCTGCCATTTCTTATTCGCAGTTTATAATATATATAAAATATTTCAAAGGATGCGCTGTCCTTTTTTTGCTAGCCTTTCTGTTTCCAAAAATGCTGCATAACATAAGATATTCTGGAGCATTTTATTGACTTTTTGCGCTGTGGACTGGCAAATTTCCAAAAATTGTTTTTTGGACTAGTAAATTTCAAAAAAGTTTCTATAGACTGGCAAAATTTCTTGCATTTTTGATAGCCACAATTTTTTTCATAATAAAAGGAAATTTAAAAATTTGTTGATTTCTTACAAATATTGAGTCAAGAACCATGAATGAGGCAGCTTTAGTGTTTAAAAATTTGAAAGACTGGCTTGAAGAAAGGTTTCTCAAAATTAAATGAAAAAAAAATTACCGTATCTTATCTGCTGAAAATTTGTCTGAACCACTATATTAGGACAAAAAAGCTAACTTTCCAAATTCAAATTTCAACTTCCATTGTCTTACAAAATTTTCAGGTAAATATAACAGGCTTCATCAATACTTTTGATAAATGTACTGTATTACTGTAAGCTAAAGGAAATTTCTCATTGACTGTCAAAAAATGTTTGTGGACCAGCACCACTCCACAGACCACAGGTTGGGAAACGTTGTCCAAGAGTCCACAATGCAGGTGTTGCCCTGCAATTTGACCCAAAAATGTTACCAGGTAAGGGTCGAATTGCCAAGTGGTCAAATTGTGAGACAATGTCACATTCAAGGTTTTCTACATCCAGTTTGACATTTTGAGTTTATCTGTACTGGTTGAATTGTGGGGCAAGAGGTCAAAATTGCAAGTCAGTGTCCCAGCAAATTTGACCATCAAATTGTGGGATGGTCAAAATGTTTTCATCAAATTGCAAGGTACCACCTGCACTCCAATTTAATGCCTGAGGGTTTTTTCAATTTCAAAAGATGGAAAAGAAATGAAGAATTTGCCAAAGAACAAAAATATTAAGTGAAACTTTCACTGATTTTTCTGATGTTCAAATAAGATGCATTTTCCTGTGTTGTGCTGGGATTTATTCTTGGTTCAATTATTTTGTTGATACCGTTTAACAGGGACTACGGGGTTGGTGTTGATTGTCGTCAAGGGGGCCACGGGGTTGCGTTTGCATGTCGTCAGAAGTGCCAGGGTTTCTCCGTGACAACCGAGGCCTCAGTTCTACTCCACAACTTACCCGCAAAAGTTTCGCCCACCAAAACCCTCTTGCAGAACCCACCAAAAAAAAAAGCAGAGGAAATCTCAGTGACTTTCCTAATTTTTCTAAGAATCCTTCTCCCATTGAAAAATTTTTATATCAAATTTTTTTCTAGTTTTATTCTGCAGAAGATCAACTTTTTGGTGTGGGCAGTTTGTAAAGTAAGAGAAAAATGCCGCAGGGCAGCGGTTGGCTGCTGGCGGCGGCCATCTTTACCCTGTCAGTCAACATGGCGGCTGGGGCAGCAGGCTGGAGTCCTTGGAGCATGTTCACTTCACCCTGCAACAAGACCTGTGGTGGTGGGAAGCAGACAAGGATCAGGTCTTGCACGAATCCTGCTCCAGACCCAAACATCCCTGGGGATGCCTGTGTGGGAGACGCCATTGAAATCTCTGACTGCAACACAGAGCCCTGTCAGAGTGGGTGGAGCAACTGGACTGCCTGCAGTGACAATTGCACCTGGGGTGTGCAGCAAAGGTTAGTGAAATTTTGTGCTGATTTATCTATAATTGAAACTTATTTTTGTAATGTATATAGAAACTGATAGAAGTGAAGTCTCAGCTCATTTTGAAAAAGGAAACCATATTGACTCAAAAAGCCAAGATTCAAGTCAATTGATTGGTTGAGAAATATGCTTTATTTTTTACTTTTCAGCATTCAAAATGTTAAAAATATTTTTTTCTATTTTTCATTTTCAAAAAGCAGCATTTTTTAAAATGTCATTCTACCGTAACAAAAGGCATGAATGCATTAACACTTAAAATACTGTACAGATATGTTACTTCATGGGACTCAGTCAAACTCAAGTGATATTGTATATGCTGTAAATGTATCATAGAAAAATTAGTTAATGGTTGCAATTTTAATGAATCTGCAGTTGCATTTGAAATTGTATAAATGAATATATTGAACCTTTTAATGCATATGCTTTATTCAATTAAAAGATAGTTTCTAAGAAAATGCATATGTATATTGAAATTTGTCTGCATCCTAATAATACAATTTCCAAATCACATCTTTGAAACATCTCAACTTTGTTCCTTTAATACCTGGAAGCATAGCTGATGGTGAAATAGCCAAATGAAATTCAAAAATGCAAGCAGAGATATACTATATATATGAATGAATGAATGAATGAACAGAAAACTTTATTTGCTGCTTTTCAGCATTCACAAGGGATAACCAGAACTCCCGCATCCAAACCCCCTCCCCACCCAACCCAACTCCCCCAAATACATTCAATCATTTCAAAGCATGAAACAAAGCACAAACAAATGACAAAAATAAAAGAAAACACATTCCACAAAATAAAACTATATATAGAAAACATAAATTTATGATACTTGCTGGTTTACAGCAAGTTCAATTACTGCAAGCTGACTAAAAATAATGAATGAAACTATGCTAACCTGTTGTGTGAGGAAGTGAAAGTAATTGTGCAGTGAGCTTCTGATATATTCACGGATTATACAAGTCTAAAAACATGTTATTAAGAATGTCATATATTCTACCAATAGGTACACAACATGTGGTGATAACGCAACCAAGTGCACAGGTATTCAGTACAAGTCAGAGTACAGGAAATGCATTCGGTGGAATGAGACCAACAACTTGGATGCTACTCCTCAGACAGCCAGCACCAGATGCCCACACCCTTGCATCCTGTTTAAAGTCAAATGCCCTGACTATGCCATCTGTGAACAAGTCACAAACTACACTGCACCAGAATACAAGTGTGTGTGCACACTGGGGTACACTATGAATAGTGCCAAGGATGCTTGCATTAAACCACCTCCACCAGAGCCCACACCTAGACCCATACCAACCTTGGCTCCATCTCAAAAGCAAATCAAAATGGTCATCACCAATACTGCATCAACCGTCATCTTGGTTTGCTTGTCAATCTGCCTCATCATTTTCTTGTTTCTGAGGATTTTCACAGTGGACAGAGTCATTCATATGAACATGGAAATAGCATTGGCTTCAGCTCATGCCTTGCTTCTGATACCATCTGACCTGATTAAGGAGGGCATCATGTGTAGGGTGGTGTCCATTCTGCTGCATTTCTTCTTCACTGCCACCTTTGCATTCATGTTCCTGGAAGCCCTACATATGTACTCTTTAGTTGCCTACATTGTCAAGAAGGATGGAATGCTGAACAGAGGGCAAAACATGCTGGTTGGTTGGGGATTGTCTGCATTTGTGGTCCTCATGACCATGTGCTTCTGCTTTGACTTGTATGGAGGAGTTTACTTGTGCTGGATGGACATGGGCAGGTGAGAATAATTATCAATCATCATGGAAATACTTTTTGAATTTTCTTACATCACTAAATTTGACCTGCATTTGACCTGCCTGTCAATCCTCAATAAACTGTACTTGCCGTCCCAGTGTAGTGTGAGCTTTTTTAAAAACTCTTTTTTTAACCCTTCTGCGGCTAAGTTGGACTTTTTTCGCAGATTTTGGTGGCACTCCAGAGTGGAATTTAAAAAACCCCAACAGTGTGTGCAGGGCAAAGTTGGGAAAAATCCTGGCATTTTTTAAATTTTCCATGGAAAAATTTCACGTGAAAATAAAAAAATAAAAACTTCAAGGCTCCCTTTTTTTCCCCTGGTCTTGTGTTGTTTCCCCATTCAAAGATTAAATTTAAGCTTGAAAGCCAGGGGCCCATGTTGGAGGTCAATATGGAAAAAGTCTGACTCAGGACTTTCCCAGCATTTCATTATCCCTGGAAAAAATCCAACTTTGCCCTCCCCCACCTGGCAGGGGTTGCATAACCTTGTGCAAAAATATAATGCACACCCATCAGGAAAAAGTCTGACTTTGCCCTGGGATGGAAAGGAGGCTGCTGCCATCCAAGGGCTAAGAGTACTGTACATGGATTTTCAGAGACATGACTAAGAATACTCTGAAACTTATTCTCATATTTAAGGAAAATGTATATGCATGAGTTTATTTTGACCTTTTCTTTTTATCTTTCTTCAATTTCCAGGTCAGGAATCATCCTTGGACAGTTTGTGCCCAATGTTGCCCTGGTCATTCTAACATTCATCCTGATTGAGGCAGCTGGAAATGCAGATTCATTTGCCAAGATCCCTCAAGAAAGAATACAAGTTTTCAGTGCAAGAATCTCCCAGAGGACAAACTTGTTCATCATGCCATTGGTATTTTGCAGCTGGGTCCTAGGGATTGTGTCTGAATATGAGCAGAACATTGGACTCTATGGAGCCTTTTCTGCCTTGAACTCAATCATTGGTGTCCTTATACTGTTCTGCCATCTAATGGCCAATGAAAGAGTCAGAGAGAAACTGATGAACTGTTGTAGCTCCTTGTGTGACAAGTCATCAAAGAGGAGAAGACGGTACAGCAAAAATAAGCCCAATAAGATATGAGATATGGAAATTCTCAACAAATCGCCTGAAAAACGGACTAAGATTCAACCAATTCGCACTGTTTTTTCCCTCTTCTCTTCATCTGAAGAATGTTTGAGAGCATACATGAAAGAACGTCGCCCCTGATGAGAATGCCTGAGAAAATACTCACGAAAGTTTGGCAAGACGCAGCAGCAGTTTGAAAAAAATTTTCTTTTGGGAACATGGAGTGATATATATTATAAATATATTGTATATTCTAATGTGAATAGTTGTATGTAACAGCAATAATTGTGCCTCTCACATTATTTTTTTATGCTTCAGATCATTCCTCCTATTATTTGGAACTTCAGGCTTTTGTTGGTAAGAGAATTTCAGAACAGGGACAATTTACAAAACAGAAAAAAATTAATTCTCTCACCAACAGAAGATGTGTTTTGTCTTACTCAACCCATGAATGGCTTGCTCAAAGTGGGAATCTTACAAGCATGTATAATCACTGCTGGAAGAGAAAGAAATACAAGAGTGACCATGATTCATTTTTTAAGAAAATATGACCTCAACTTTATTGAAAACATTTAAACCATGCAACATAGACACACAGTAGCGCTTATGAAAGATTTCCACCATTTTATTAGAAATTATCCTCATAAAATGTCATGAGATGCTAATTTCAAGATTTCACAACACTCTGTAATAGATTCATGTACTGAATTTGAAGCAAAAACAGACACCAACCATAAGCTCAATGTAAGAAATTTAGACAAGTGCTAAGTTTCAAACGCATTTTTGAAAGTTATTGAATATTGAGTTTCACTGCATTTAGGAACTAAAGAAATCAAGTTTCAGAAAATCTCCAGCTATACTCAGGTCGTGTGCTTTTTTTTTGCTACGGCGATTTTAAGGAAATTCAAAAATTTCTAAAAGCATCAAGTCAGTGTTTGCATATTTTCAGGAGTGACTTCAAGATCAAGATTCATGATTTAGAAATAATTCCATTGACATACGAACAGTTTCTCTACTCAGTGTTCCGTCTCCCAATATTTTTCATGATTTCCAAAAGACATGAAAATTTTCATGTCTTTTGGATAAAACAACAATGAAAGCCTAGAAAACATGTACTAATAAGTGCGGTTGAGGGTTTTAAGAATTTACTAATTCTCAATATAGCGTATGAAAGTCTTTTTTGGCACAAAATAAAATTAAATTCATATCCATGAATAATTTTCAGCGGAATCCAAATATTTGGGAGTTTTGTTTATATTTCCATAAGCATTTTAGGAGATTTGAAGGATTGAAAAACATGTCTTATGAGTCATTTAGCACTGTCGATGAAGGAAATTGACAGAATGCATATCCATAGTTTCTCATTTGTTGCAAAAGAAAATTCATATTTTGAAAAATGACACAGCACAAAAACTGAAAGGTTGAAATCTCAGAAAGTTTGTTTCATACACTACTGTAAAAAATAATGGCTTCGAAAATTAAACAATGTCTTTCATGATCAGCCTATGCTGAACGTGTTTCTTTGCCGCGCAAATATCAAGTTCCTTTTTTTTTGTGCAAAAATGATTCATATATTTCAAAGTGACATTCTATCAAAACTGAAAGGTTCAATTAAATAACGAGAAAAGAAGGTACTTTCCTGTTTTCTCAGTACCTCATTCCTAGACTGCACTACCATCCAGACAAATCTTTAGGACAAGTTCATAATCAGGACAACCTACCAGAAACTGTGAATTTTATTTTTCAGCATTCTGCTGAAACTGATTTTGGGAAGCGGTTAGGTAAAGTTAGGTTAGGTCAGTTTATGTTATTTACAAATATATTTTAATTAACCTAAACTGACCTAACCTAACTTCACCTAATCTCCTCCAAAAATCAGTTTCAGCAGAAACCCAAAGAAAGCAGAAACTGATTTTGGGAGGCAGTAAGGTGAAGTTAGGTTGGGTCAGGTTAAATTGGTCAGAGGGAAGGTACAGAGATAACAGGAAAGTACCACAAAGGGAATAACAAATAATAGTAGCATATGAATGAGGGTTTTTGAAAGTTATAGAATTTTCCTTGTTGTAACCTATGTATGAAAGCCTTTCTTTGGCACAAAACAAAATTAAATGCATCTCCAGCGTATGAATATAATCATCAACGGCGACTTCAAATCTTTGGGAGTTTCGTCTTCACTGGCGTTTTAGCAGCAGCGTTCGGCGAGGAGCGACCTCTATCCACACTCGAGTTCCTACTAGCATTCCTGCTGGTACCAGGACTGCCTCTGCCAACCGGACTCAGCACCATTTTCGCCACGATGGGCTTCTGCGGCTGGAAATGATGCTGTTGGGGTTTCGCAGTGTTGCCCTGCTCTGCCAACTTGAGTCTCCTGATGAGTGTCGGCGGGGAATGCGGCTCCTGAACCGCCTTACCGCTCTTTTCACTGTCCACAGACGACGAGGACGCCTTGGACGACCACGACATCAACGAGGAAGTTGACGGCGGGCGCCAGAGGGCGGCTGGTGCTGGCGGCGGCGGCGGTTTCGAGTTATTATTGGTGCTGGACGACGACGACGAGGCGGACGACCGGCGCCTCACCAGGGCCATGGCTAGTCTTTGAGACGCGATCCTTCGGAACTTGGCCTGGGCCACGTGGCGTTTCCACGTGGCCTGGATCTTGACAGCCGCCCAATGCTGGCGTTGTGTGCAGATGGCGCCTCTTCGGGCCTGGAACTTGTCCTTGAAGAGCTCTTTGTAGCTCGCATTCACTACCTGCAGCTGCTTCTGTTTGAAACGACGTAAAAAAAAACATTGATTATAAATTGCTGATGTTGAAAATATTTTTTCTGGAAAATTCTATCCAGAAAACACAAACACGAGCATCAGCAAAATTTAACAAAGGAAATAACCCAGAGCGTGAATTTGAAAAAAATAAGGAACCACACTGATTTTATCTCGCTTCATGATGCTGGTTCTTGAACTATACCAAAGTGAAGGAGGAATTCGAAATCATAAAGTGATACCTGTTTCACAAGAAAGTGATTCAAATTTTTGTACAGTTTTTTTTTTATATTCTGCAAAATTTTGTAATGCCTAGATTTTGGTTTTCATCATTTGCATCTATGCACACTCTCTTTTGTTGAAAGCCATGCTTGTAAGTAATGAAAAATATATATATTTAAATGTTCAAAGTATACAGTGAACACCCAAAAAATGGACTCAATTCATGTAACAGACTAGGGTGTTGTGTAAAATGTCTGGTATGCAAATTCACTTATTAAAAAATTTAAATTGTTCACTTTTTATCATCAACTTTAAACCAAGAGAAGTCTGTTTTGCGGATTTAGTTGGTTGCTTAGGAGGAAAAACCGCCTCCAGAGGTGACCTGCTGTGCAAAAGCTGATGTGTGAGAGTTCTGTTGTGCTGGGGTTGACTGTATTTCAAGTATTCATAAGTACAATTGTGTGCTAAAATAATCAATTCAAATTCCTGAATTCAATAAAATCTAAAATTCAAAAATTATTATAAGTATAGGTAGACTCCTCTTGACTTTCCTTCAATCAAACCTCAATTGAATTTCTCATTAGCATTATTAAATTTTTGCATAACAAAAATCACCCTCATAGCCAAAAAGATTTGTTTTGCTTGGACCCATTGAGATTCTTTTGCTACAGAGAAAAAGCTTTTTACTCCCAAATTCAGTTAATACCATATTTGTAAAATGTGAATGGAGTTTATGACAATTATAAAAAGCAAACCAACAATAAAACAAGCTATAGAATGGGTTTTATATCATTCCAATGTGATCTTGCAGGTCAGGATGAAAACGATTATTGTTCCTGATATAAGTCAGACAAAAGAAAAGTAATGTGAAACTTTCAAATGCCTCTCCACTTTGCCAGATTTCTTTAGTTGCATCAATCTACTGGCAAGAAGGTCCTATTTTCATGGAAAAATATGCATATATAGGTCTGAAAAAAATGCCTCAAATAATCTGTCAGATTCTGCCTTTGTGTAGTTATCAAAAATCTTTTATTATGCAGCAATAAGCTTGAGAACAGCAGAGTTTTTAGTTTTGAAACTTTTGACCATTCATATTTTTTCACTGATCTTTTGGTGATTTTATTCAAACTGTTTTATGCCCCCAAAATAAGGAAATAGCATAATGGAACTGACAGCACATGTAGAGACAAACCTGCAGGTCTTCACATGACTTGATGTGGGGGCTTAATCCTGTAAACAACTTTCTTTCCATGTTGGTTTCTTCAACATCTGGGTCTGAGTCCAAAATGATCGCGTGCATACCAATAAGGTCCCTG